TTTTTTTTCAGGCTGATATAACGTACAATGGGACCGTTGAGAATGTCCGTTTTGTTGTGGCGTTATGCTCAGTGTGTCTAATCAAAGAGATAGCTTTGGTGTCAAAAACTCTAAGCGCACCTGGCGATCACAAGAAACGTGGTAGTGCACCTCACTCTTCAGTGAGTGTCACCTTGATGAGTTTGGTGAGCCGTAAAATGCAAGTGCAGTGAAGTGTACTACATTCAGGCGGAGCAGTTATCCCCAATGAACTCGCCGATGGTCGCGCAAACACGTGCATCAGTGTCGTGGGATGTCCGTGTACTAGATATGATGCGTGATTTTGAGAAGAATCGCAGTCGAACTGCTACTAAGAAGAGAGGCGGCGTAAGTCTGAATTTCCCATACCGTCTTAGATCTTTGCTCTTAAAAATTCTGAACCGTCACACTCATTGACCCTATAAATACATAGCTATAAATCTACTAAAAACCTTTCTGATAACCGAAAACATTCTCTTGATCCTTGTTATGAAGAATCATTCTGTATTGATGTCCTGCAACCTCAAAGTCCAAAGTTTCTCAGCTGAACCAACTCTAACCTCCTAAGGACGATACTAAAAATGAGCATTGTTGCGCAGGTTACATGCTAGAACGAATTCGGGGACTGGAACAAGTGAGTAGTGGAGAAATCAAGTTTTGTGAACCTCCCAACGCCGCACAGACAGCCATTCGAAGGGTTTGTCAAACAGGCTCTTGTAGGTGGAGCAGTAGACTGCTGTAAGCGTGGGTATACTGTACTCATTGCCTTGGACAACTGTTAATTCAATCACCGGAAGCGATCTCTCTTGTTCAGGCGTTCATTTGTGTTGGTCATCTTTGAGCAATGCTGGAAGTTAGGCTTGATTTTCGGGGTTTCTATGCTTATTTGATTTTTTGCTATTGGCAACAAGCATGTTCTGCATGAGTGCTTTCATCTTTCAGTATTTAATAATACCGCCGTGTCATCGCCTCTTGGGCCATTGGATCGTACTGATCACTGACTCATATGTTAGCCTATAGCAATTGTAGCGCTCTAAACGGTTCTATAATCTATACGGTTCAAGCCTGGAATTTCCTCACAAAAGTCTTTTGTACTTCAAGAATGCTGCGATTTCAGGTAGAAAAGAAGATTCGCGGAGAGCTCGAAATTGATTCTGTTCGTTTGGAATCGATTCTCACAGATCTCTATGTGTCGATGATGGTGCAGCTGATTGGAGTCAAGCAATATCATGATTCTGATCGTAATCATGGCAACAAGTCGAAGAAGAATATCAAGACGCTTTTGTCAAAGCGCCATGCGACAATGTTTGACATAAGTTTGAGGTGAGTTGTTGTTCCTGGCAAAGGGCAGAAAAGTGGATTAGTGTCGTCTCCTATCATTGTTTCTACGGTGAATTCAGCTCATTTCAGTAGTAGTAGAAGCATCTCTTTCGATTTTGGATACAGCACTATCAGGGCAACTGTATGATTCAAGTGTTGATTTTCAGAAAGGCAAGTCTTGCGCTCATGGAGTCAGACAATGCGAAACAGAATATGCACATAGTAAACTGTACGCTTCACGAGAGTAGCGCAAGATTGTCAAGGTAAATTTGTTCGGAACGCTCGAGCGGTACTATATCTTGAATGGTACATTCGGAGATCATTGGCTCGCAATTGGGCCTTATATATGATCAATTCGGCTCTGGGCCTTTAGTTTCCTCAAGGCCAATGCTTTTTTCCACGACCCTTCTTGGTTTTCCATCTTTATCATCATCTCATCTAATGATTTGTTGAATTTTTGATCTTTCCAGAGTCATGGCTTAGGCTTAGGTCACGTGAGCTAAAAAGAGGATATTTTTTCTGCTTTGAGCTATTTAGGAAGAGATGTCAGATTAATAAAATGAAAAGCCAAGCGGACCGACTGTGAGTTTGACCTCTTTGTCTGGTGACTCTTCAAAGTTCCAGTGGTGTGGCTGAGGGCGAAAAGGACGAACCTCTGACTTCCCTACGGGTTTCTCTCGGAGCTATCGAAGGAGAGCTTCCAGTGGCCGCACACTCGCTTCATGACGTCGTAATGAGACATGGCCCCCAGGTTGGTCGAGGGAATGACAATTATGGAAATATTTAGATTCGTAAGCCTATCTGAGCCGAGTATTTAACTGATCATGAGTGTGCATGTTGCAGTTGGAACAACAGTTCAATCGGCTTAGTGCACAGCCAGCACAACCAGCACCGAGCAATCAGAAACCAGAAGCAGAACAACAAACGGACTCTCTGCAGGTCGTTGAGGGTTATGTCATCCAAGGATTCTGTGAGGAATAAACTTTTACCTATAATTTTCAGCAGGTCGAAGTTGTTGGGCCGGCACAAGTCGCTGCATGGGAACAGAATCATGGGAAATATGGTGATGCGACAAAGAAGCCAGTCCGACCACGTGCACCCATAATGAAAATCAAATTCGATTTCGAAACTTCGAACATTGAATTACGTGCACGTCTTCTGCCCAGTCTTCTGGCTCGATATAAGCTCAATAGGGCCTTCAGCAGTGGAGTAACTGGTAAGCAGGGTTCCTCAGAAAGGGTGCAGTGTGGAGGACACAGCCTACTAATCTTCGGCTGTGGATTTCTGGAGTAAGAGCCGCACGCACTCCACGCACTCCATCCCTAAAATGTATTTCGTATTTTTTTGGTCCGATACCGATTTACCTTTAACTATGTTCCAGGGGATGAAGCGAAATGGACTGCCAGTATCCAAACACATTATGCAGAGTTTTGTGTGTCATCGGCTGGAAAGCCCATGGACACCTTCACTCTGGCATTGCCAGCTGTTGGAGTCAATGGAGAGTACACCGTAGACAAAGAGGGAACTGCGCCGGCAACAAACAAGACTCTTTTGTATCGTGAGGGAGGCTATCTGAAAGTGACCGTCACACTAGGTAGGCCGACTTTTTGTTAGGAGCAATCTATTACCATTGCTCCATACATATTTCTTTTTGCAGCGGGTCCTTCCATTCCATGAACGTAGCTCAATTCAGGTCAAGTCAATCATTCATTCACTACCGATCTTCTGAATCAAATTCTATTTGCCGAGCAGTCCTTCCGTAGTGAACTGTCAGCACTGATCACCCGTCTTAGGGCAGAAAGATCTGGATGGTCACCCGCTGCGAATAATGCTCCTCAAATTTCAAGCAGGGAACCGATGTTACTGTTCTCTCTCAAGGTGGGCCCTAGAGATGTTATAGTTGCTGCCCCACGGCATGTTTCATCATAGAGCGCTTCAGGTGAAAGGACAAGGTGTACCGTGGTTACAGCTTACAGCAGCTACTCCCACTGCGACCGCTGTTCGTTTTACAATCGAAAGCTTGGATGCAGAGTTGACGAATCGTTGGGTATGTGTACGTTTCATGGGGTACAGGAAGCGCTGAATATGTTCGTACTAAGATGTGGGAATAGTATGTCACAGAGATGTTTGTTGATAAGTGAAATTATTCTTTTCTGAAAAGGCGTGGAAGAAAGGTAATTTCCCGTGGAGTCTGCTGAGAGTTGTCGTTAGTTCGTAGTAATTACTGAAAATTTAGAAAAGGAATAGTAGACGCCTCAACAGCAACTGCAGGTAAAGGTTTAGGGGTCTTGCTACTAGTACATATGACTACTAGTGTGTTTGAACTTATTCTAATATTGTATCTAACTATTGGTTACTTGTTTTTAAGGTATCGAAGAATAACATCTATGGACTAATCAACACCCAGGTTTTAGGTTATGAAGGAATTAGGTTCAGCCAAGGAACGCCTTTTTGGTGCAGCTGCTATACAGTTCAACGCGAAGTTAGGTCAACTGGTCAAGGTAGCGGAATATGCAGAGCTCCAAGCGGAGCTGCAAGAATATGCAACTTTTATGACCCAGGTAAGACTTGTGCAATCATCGAGGAAATTAGATCAATAACTTACTTCGTTTAGGTTCGTGTAGAGAACAAGGAAAGCTCATCGCATCAATCCTATTCTTACCATATATCGTTGAATCGGCCCATACTACTGATTAAGTCGAGCGCCATAGACAAGGTATGGGTCAACGGAACGTTCGTAGGATGTGACTACTAGTAGGGCTTATACCAAAGTGCTGTTCACCTGTAGTTTCTGGAGCTCAGAAAATATTTTCAAGGCGATTCTCCTCTGGCTTAACTACAAAAACACCTACGACTATTGGAGAGCTGAGCGAAGTAAAGTGGTTAGAGCGGCAAGCGCAGCAGTTAAGCAGAGAAGCAACAGTATTCAACACGCGATGTTCTCACCTCCTCAAACACAGGTAGATTCCTTCCAAAAAGCATTATTCATGATTATAAATTTGCTCCACTTTGATCTTCTGTTTAACACTTCTTGCCTCAGAAATTCCACCTACCGTAGATTTGCTAAGTTAATTATAGTGATACTTCGATTATAAATCTTTAGATTTTGCAGGGGCTCGAATTTCAGGGGCAAGGAGAAGTAGAAAATACCGAAGAGTATAAAATGAGGGTTAATTGTAATAATCATCTGATTAATCCTTACAGAACTTCGATGTGAATCTCTCGTTGGCCATAAACAACGGAATGTATGTATGCATGCCACTCTACAGTCAAGATCTCACAGATGGTATGCCTGCACTGGTCTTGTCTTTGCAGGTGAGGGCACTGGGAGTTTCGTAGGGCATGCCTTGAAGGAAGCTTCATTTTAAGTTTCCTCACATCTTTTATTGGATAGAAATCGATTTAAATTTGTTCGAACTGAAGCCCCTCTTGATATTTTAGTAATGAGGGTAATGAAGCTCTCAAGGAATCGTTATTTCAGAAAAGCGATGTGACCGTTTGTATTATGAAAGAGCTGGCTTGTCAGGCATCATTCCATGGGTTCAAGTTGAACTTCATCGACAATTTTGATGAACTTGTATGTTTAACTTATTCCGTTCCGATCAAGTTGCTCGAGACTTGGAATTTCAGTCTTTGTCGGAGAGTGTGAAAGAAGCAACTGGAAACACTCAGACAAACTATCTGTTCTTCCCTCAAGGAACGTACCAGCTGTGCTCGCAGGTAGGGAATTTGATGCCAGTATATTTTAGAGTTAAATTTGAAGGAATTGATGTAGATGAAACCACAGATCGGAGGCCGCTACGACCACTTCCTTCTTGTATCGAATGGTATAAGGGAGGATTAGGAAAGGCGTTTCTAGGGGATAAACCGCTATGGGGCCTCTCACGAGCGTCGAACTGCCTTTCTGTGGGAGGAACACGGGTACTACCTCATGCTTCTAATCCCCCTCCACTGCTGTTTGAATATACAAGTTTGAGACTAGGGTGAAAAACTTCGAGGGTTGTGGCAATTGTTCTTTTGTCTTAGAAATAAGTAAGAAGATAGCAAACTCGAACCCGTACTTAGGCTCGGTAACACAAATACAGGTCCGAATCCCGTCCGAGGCCGAAGTTCTGTCCATAACTCGCCAACCTTGTGAGTAAGAAGAGCTCATTTGAAGCATCGAAGGCAAGACTGTGATGTATTCAGGCGTCATCTGATGATCAGGGCGCAAAATGGGTGCTAAGTGTACGATCACAGATGCGAGGAATGGTTATCGATTTGGATCAGAGAATAGGTGAATATCCCTTAATAATTTGGATCTCCGTAAGAAATTGATCTTCAATACCCTCAGATGGGATAATTTTTATATGAAAGATATAACGATTTGAAGGAAAATTTGCGAAATTGGTCATCAATACGTTTTCATCGCTTGGCGAAAACGAAGATGATATGGACGATAGGCGGTCTAATGTTTCCGAAGACGATGATCCTAAGGTCGGTGTGTTACGATGGGAAAAGTTGACAAGTGCCTGCTCTATCAGCAAATTATCGTGATTCATGTTGTCCTCTGTCATTATGGCTTTACCTATGTTCGTTTCAGATTGAAGGTGCTGGTGAACTGAAGAATCTTCGACCGGAGGAGAGAGTGCCGTGGATGGAAAGGAAGGTATGGTTACCAATCGTGTCCGCAAATCCAGGGATTTTAGAATTTGATGTATTGTTTGAAGAAACGCAAAGCAGTTGTACTGAAGATAGGAAATTCTGTGCGCAGAGAATATTGAGGATAAAAAAATTCTGTTTAGATGCATGAACAGTCAACGCTGGTATCAGACCTGATCGCTTGTAAAGCATCCGAGAAACGTATCGAAGCTGAACGAAGTAAGCTCCGTCAGTACGAGCTGATGCGATTCAAAGAGTTCAGACGTAGTATGATTGAGAAGATTCGTCGTCGAAGGAATACTGGCAATAAAGGAGACAAAGGGCTTAGTGTAAGCTTTTGCTGACAACTATTACTGTTGTATTAGGGAACGTATCGTCGCCTTATTAGAGGTGTTCCTATAGATTTCTTGTGCTACAAATTGGTAGAGGCGGAGCGATCTTCTGATGAAAGCTTTCTTTCAGGCCATTTCGAATGAAAACCTCAGGCCATCGAAAACAATTTCTGATCAACGGGCACCTGAAGTTGAAGAAAAAAGTCATGCTGAAAATGTTCGAATGAATATCGATGTCCAGGTGAGATCAGTTTAGCACATTAATCTAAGAAGGTAAGGATGGGATGGGATAGGGAGGACAGGATAGGGGAGGATAGGATAAAATAAATAAATGGGTAAGGGTGCCTTTCTCTTTAAAATGCAAAAGTCACTTTGCACAAGAGGTGCTAGTTGATGGGCTCAATAGATTATTCTGGCAGAGGAACTGCACTAATTGTGTACCTTTTTGTAGGTGAGCATCGAATCCGGCCGATGTACGTTGCGAACAGCATTAAAACAGGAAATGTCGTTGATGATGGTTCCCACTATGGTGAAAAAACCGTCAGCGAAAGATCTACGTGCAAAAGCATTTGCCTCTGCTCAGCCAACGAATTTGACGAGGTTCAGTATTCCGAGGTTGGTTGCTTTTGAGGGTTGGCAACATATGAGAATTGGGTCTTTGATTGATGCTCGCGTTTCTGAGAAATTCTTTATTTGGAGCTTTCCAATCTGGGGTGAGCCGGTCCAATATTTAGGATTATGTAAAATATTTTGAATAGTAGGAGTACTTTAAATTCGAATAGCCTGCTTCTCGTTTCTACATCCTTGTGGATTTCAAATTTGTAGGTGAACGAGAAAAAAGAGAAATGAAGAAATAACAAAATGCTGGAATGCTTCGGAATTCCGAAAAAAGTGGCGAAACAGCTCCTTGTGAAATTTCTCCCGTCCTCATGCTTCTCAAAAATTTCTGTCTGTTTCTTCGCTATCCGTTCTGGAAACTCTTTTTGCATATTCTAAACTTTTTTCCTTTCTTTTTGTAGGCTTTGACTAATGCTGGCTAATATAGGGGAAGGAACTAAACTCATTGGTGGTCTCTTATTAGTTTAGGAAGGTTATGTCTGTGTATTTGACGTAGTAATCAGCAAAGATCTGACATGCTGTAACAGTATGATTTGAACATTTCAGCCTCGATATGAAAGGCTACTACATATCAGCAGATAGTGGTTCTCTGCCAGCTTCAGTGGCTGCCTCCTTTGCTAATGGACCCACCGCCCAGCCATCTCTGGCAAAGCTGGAACCTGTTCGAGTTCCTTCTCAGCTTGATCTCATGGTTAGTTTTGTTTTCCAATGTTTGGCCTTTCAAAATGTGGACATCGCAATTTTTGAGGAATGCTCGAATCCTTCTTCGCTCCGTAGCGGTTTTTGCGGATGTTTATCTAGCTATGATTACATCCCAAAGTAGAGGCTACGCCGCATGCTCTGTAAATTTGGGGGAAAGAAGCCGTCGTTGGTGATCCTTGACCAATTGGCTCAATGGTTATGCAACAAAACTTGGGCAGGGAATCGCAAAGGAACACACCATTCACTCAGTATATGAGCTTGATTTTCTGATATCTTTTATTCTGCCTTTTTTACGGTTTCTCTCCTCTTTAGCCAGATTTCACTTCAAGAAGTACTGCATACAATTCTTAGATACGCATCAGTAAGTGAAGAAATAGATAATAAGACGTATCTAGGAAGATGATAGAAATTTAGAGATGCTCATGAAGAGCACCGAAAAGGGAGAAAAAAGGGTCACGGAACTCCGAAATGGGCTATCTCGATGGTTTTGAGATACTGTGTCCTTTCACAAACGTGCTCCTTTCAACTACCTCTTCCTGTTGAAATCGAGCATAGATCGCTGATCTGAAGCTCAGACCTCTCATTCATTATTGCTTACCCGTATTTTCAAGGTGTTTTTATTTCTAGACTGTTCGAAATCGTGGATGCTTTTACTTGTCGGCGGCATTGGCATCTATGCCAACGGAGACGGTTGTCACACCACATCTGGCAGATTATTTGGAACAAGTGAGTGAGAAAGTGATTGCAGTTCCGGATAGTCACGGATCATACTGTAATCACTATGCCTGTAGTGAAGCCCAAAATATTTGCAATAAACTGGAGGTTCAGATGCTGGAACCGCTCCCAATTTCGTCTGGCGCCACAGTGACTTCGGTACCATCAACAGGGGAACAACAAGAAGGCGTGGCTCATATCGTCGGTATGGATACCAGCGCGCTACCGATTGACGTCCTGTTCTTTCTTACAGTTCAAAGTAGTACGATTCGATTTGATGGCCAACAACAGGTAACTTGTGGTCTAGGTCTAAGAAGTTTTAGCCGTAAACCCTCCAATTGTATACTTCAGAGAAGTTCGGCTGCTGATTGCCTTCTGAAACTGCCATGTTTATCGCTGATGGCGACTACGAGAAGAACGGTTGAAGATTCATATGTGGGCGGTATAGATGTATCAGCGACACTGAGCGCGTTTTCGTTAAGCATATACAGTCCGCATCAGGTAGGTAGGGGTTCCTGTCATAATTCAAAATTCTTACCTATCTTTTTCTGCTTTTACTCATAGGGGCTAAACTTGGTATCTGTCCTGAAACTGTTTTGCGACTAGAAGTTCAGTATGATTTCATGCTTGGCTCTTCCTGCGCTGAGAACCTTTACTTTTCTGCGTTTTTACTCCTTGTGAAGTAATTGTTTTCAGCAATCTACAGCTCATGATGCTTTATCGCTTACCCTCGACCATCTATCCTTTGTGATTTCTAGAAGTAAGAACTCGAGCGTGGAGGCTGACAACCGAGTAAAGGTGATTATCTACATAGTAATATGTTACTGGTCTCCCTCACTTCCTTCACTATTGACTCGGTCCTCGCACTTTTAGTTTGTTCTTACTTCAAACATCGGTGCGGCGAATTTCAACTACGATATGCGACGCCTGAGCGAGCTGATGGCTTTTCCCAAACCATGGTATCGTGCAGCAATCGCTCGTCGTGTCTTCTTCGGTGATCAAGCGGCGGCGCACGACACAACGAGCCAACGGCCCAGTACTATTGCTAGTCATCAGCTAATAGCCGCCAGGTAGGACTGCTTGGTTCACGTCATTGTTCAATGTGGGTTTCTTAAGAAAAGCCTCCCTTGGTTCGTTCCTACCGGTGGAATATTTGCCTATGCTGAAATTTGATTTCGAAATCCACCAATGTGCTTGTGGAACGCGCATTACGCGATACTACCAGATGCGAGAATATATAGTTTCTGCGTTTGAGAAGTCCTTTATATTGACGATTTTTTCCCATCGTTTTCCTCCTCAATCGAAAAACCAAAGCTTTCCCCTCATCTTCTTCGTTTTTTTTTTGCATTGAGTTACATTTGTCATCACTGTTCTATTACTCATCCATACATCCGTTGCAGACCAGTGAATGTGAGACCTGAAAAGGCTTGGTCAGCAACGGTGCTGTTAGCAGTGCAATGGAAAGAGCTGAATGTGAACGCCCAAATGTCCAACACAATGGGTAATACGTCGTGGAAAGCACGTCGTGGATTATTGCGTGCAATTGCTAAGGTCGGCATGCTTCAAAACCATCAGCGGCTCACAGATTGTTAATCAGCTTGTTCAATTACTGAGGTGATTTTGCAGTTGAACTCGCGGTCTGAACGGAATGTTACCCTCACCTTCAAACTGGATTCGAGTGAACTGACGGCTCATGGAGGAGCAATCAGTGGAGAAATAGCACTCAGTCGGCTACTCCTGTCGGCTTCGCATAAGAGGAAAGTAAACGTGAGTGAAAAAGGATAAAGACAAAACTTTAATTTGAGAACGTTGCTTTTAAGCGGCCTCCAAAGAATGGAGCCAAGGTCCAGCTTCGTTGGTTGGCAGCGCGAGTGGAATGGATGAGCCGGGCAGTACTCATTGGTCGATGCGAGAAGCCTGCCATTTCTCTTGGAGATGAGTTCTCCAGGGATAGGAACGACGAAGGAGAGGTGAGGAGATATTTCACGGTATAGCAAGGCATATGGTACGATAGAAGAAGACATCAACGACTATTACCTACCTATGACAACAAGTTATATGCCACCCGTTTACTATACTCGTGAGGTGCGCAAAAGCAGCGACTTGTTCATAAACTACCAACCCAGCCCTCCTTATCCCTCTCCTCCACCCTCTTCCTACCACCCTGGGCCGTCAGCGAGCATCTGAAATCTACTAATATCTGGATAAAGATCGAATGTCATTCTAAATCTGCCACCTTACTCCCAGTGGGACTAGTGCATTATTATGATGTGGATACACGTGAACCAAGGCTTTGTTGCACTTTCAATTTTTGCTTCTATATTCGGCTCTTGTTCAAGTGTTCATGACTTGTAGTATACTCGTGCATGTGTACGGTTGAATGTGAAAGGATCGTGGGAGGATCTGCAACTGGTGATCACACGGTGTACTGTGGATGACATCCAAAAGATAATCAACAAACTGAAGACTTTCTTCGAGGTTAGCTCTGTCGGTTTGCTCAACAAAATTCAATTTTCTAGAGTAACGACCATGGGATAGTCAGGTTTTACTCTATTCAGGAGCAACTCAAGAGCTCAAAGATGGTATGGGGTATACAGGAAGAAAGCGCCGCGACACCTAGCAATTCCAAAGAACGACAGGAAAGCACGGAGGCACCGACAATGGCGACAGCCATTTGGCAGAAAGTTGGTGATTTTCATGGAAGGCATGCAATTTGATTATATGGATCTCTTTGAATGTTGAGGTGCTGGATACAATTACGCAGATTCAATTCAAACAAAAAATTCTGCCAATTCCGCAACATGGTGAGACAGTAGTTGGAGGGTTTGTTGGTCTGGAAGCTGGTCGTTTATCGTTGGCATGTATGCATGGAGAGATGAATGCTCACAGGTAGGTGGGAAATCTTCTAAATTATGTATCATTCCAAATAGATTGATTCATAGAAAGATGCATAGCAGGGATCTATTACATAATAATTATAATCAAACAACGTTCCAGTTGGGCTCTTTTCCACCTGCGATACCCAGGAATTATCTTTACACCCGAGGCCAAATTCTCTTACATAGACAAGGACGACGATGTAATAGGTTGGTTATATGGACTTTCTGAGCAAGACTTCTTGTCGAAAGAGATTGAAACATATCTTCTGATTCAGGAATAGCCTTGCGACAGAAACTAGTAATCCGTTTGGGACCACAGGATGCGAAGCGAACGGCTTCAAATAATCCGGTAGAAATCCCGAATATGAGTGCTGAAAATATGGCAACCGTCTGCCGAGTACAGGTAAGGTTCTAAGTCAATACTCGCCCATGGGTTCTTATTTTTCTAGTTAAAAAGTCAAAAATTGGGGCGGCCATAGTGGACAGGTAAACCAGCCTACTCTACCTAAGTGAATCGGGTTTTGTAGCTCTTCAAGTCTTTTTTTCAGCAAAATCGGAATACTGTAATGCGACAGAATGCCTCGATTTCGACCAGTCTAGAGTATTTGATAGGAGATGTTCTGAAACAGATCGGCCTTGCTTCAGGCAAAGAGGTCCTCGCTCTGACTTCTGATTGATCAGTAGCTTTTATCTTTGAGTTTTAAAAAATGTGAGTTTAATGGAGGGATCTTAAGGGAACTGTGACGTCATCAAGAGGGCAGCACAGCGTGCTGGAACTGTTCCAGTTTCCGGCATTGGAGGCCATACTTATCTCCGACCAAATGAATGAATGCGATGTAGTCGAATTTGATGAGGATGATCGACCAGAAGTGAGACTGTTTAGGAATTATTCTCCCGCTTTGACTTTGATGAGCACGTGCTCTTAGGTGTCAGGTCATCAGCCATTTCAGGTGTCTCATCAAAGTTGTAGTCGACCGTAGCCATTACCTCTTGAGAAATTGTGTTTATCCTGACTTTTTTTTATGTCCACTCGACGTTTGTATGTGACTTTTTGGATGCAGTTTGCGTTCAAACGGATTTCAATGCTCAAGTCAGCTTCCTGCCGGAGTTGTTGAAAAGCTACATGCAGGTCTCGGTGGGTAATACCGTTCCTTTTTTATTATTTTTTCACGTCTAGCCACATTTTATGTTTCGATTGTCATTTTATAAAACCTGTTTTCGTTTTCATTTTCGATTTTCTGTATTGTTGATCATTGTGGATGGAATTAATTCGATCACATCGCAGAATTAGTCCATGTTGATCTTTCATGGGCTAAATTGAATGTCGATTGCACTAAATTCGTGCTACCCTTCTGTTTCCATTACATCTCAGCTGACCTGAACATTTCCCGTTTTCCGTCGAGATTCAATTAAATGGAAAGAGTTTAGGCGGCTCGAGGTAGACCAGGCTTCATAATTGTTCATTGGACTAAGTAGATCCACTTTCCGAGTTTCTCCACGACACGACAGGCACGGAGCGAGTTATACCTTCCTCTACCTTCTTCGAAAGCATCGCAGCAAGCATTCGTTGATTGAGCCTTCTCAACTTCCCTTTTTTTTTTAGAGACTAGGTCGAGTGGGGAATCCCATCACATATCGCCTCTCCTTTCCTTACTGCCAAACACCTTGTCAATAGGTGTATGCAAAACTTGGGCTTAACGCGTAATATGTTTCAAAGCTGAATGGTCGATGCCGTCTCACTCTTTTTGTCAAATATCGGTTCATCTCTGAGCGCTTTTGTTTCAGGATTCTCCACTCCCAGTTGAGAACCCAGTAAAAACAGACAAGCGACGATATCTCTGCGAGAAGTGGGCAGTGGATCCGAAGATCAGGTTCATTGATCGGTTCCGGTGGAATCCACCTGTCATCGATGAGGTGTTAAGGAAGTTGCAGGTCCATTAATTGTGTATTGTTTGATTTCTGCTACTTATTGATTTATTTGTAATTTTTTGGTTTTGTAGATTTTCGATCATCGTACAACGATTCCGAAGGCTTTGCAAAGGGCGTTGCTAGATCCACTGGATAAGGCTGTAGCAGTAGCTCTGTACGAACTTCTTCGTCTTGTGGATCAGCGACAATCTATTGAACGAAGCAGTAGAACGTAGAAATAGTTAGATTTACCAACTTCCTTATTTATGTGACTCTAAGTGATGATTAAATTCAGTACTTTTATATTCTACCAAAAATTCCTTTGTAATTCTGGTCTCAAGCAGAGCTACTAAAATGTGATACGGTGCGCAGTTTTGAATAATTTATTGAATTAGGAAATGTGCAATCAGGTGGCTTGCAACGAAATATCGATTAGTTGGTTTCTTTATCTTATCAGATTGCAGGTAGACCTTATTTAGAGCTTTCATTGTAGGGTGCTTTTCTAGGCATGTAATTGTTCAGTGTCTGCTTCGCCCTTGAGCATAGTCACATAGATGCTGGTCATTTGGTTTCCACTCCTTTTTTCTTTGCTGCCTTCTGCTGCTTTGATCAAATTTATGCAATTTGTAAGTATGTATGATAAATTCTGTAAGATAATGCTTGTAATTATAAAATGTTACGGCTGTGAATTGTGTGGGAAAGTGCTGATGAATGGCACAGGCATGATAAATGGAGATTACCTGTCATTGGCACTTCAATAATAAATGTAAATAATCAACTTCTAAGGTATCGATTAGCCTCTATAGGCTCGAAAACTGACATCCACTCGGTAAAAGAGCGTTTTTGAGTACTTAGTTTAGCGTAGACAGTCGGGGTGAATACAAATTAATCTTCTTGAGTTTCCAGGAGTTCGATACTAATGAACTATGTGAGTGGAGAATACTTGCAGGAACTTCCATGCCTCTCGTACTTGGTTGATTGAAAGTCTTTCTTACAGGAGAAGCACTGGGAAAGCTGCGCAACTGGTGGACCATTCGGGCAGAGGACATCAAGACTTCTAATCGGAATGGATCCTTTTGTAGTCGTAATGATAGCCTTTGAATACGATGTTGACAAACCCTATTTCCTGTTGATGTTTGAAAATCTGAGAGGAAGTAGCTTTTTATGCCTTACTCTTCCCACCCCCGCTTCCTTCCCTTCAACCCCTTTGTTCCTTAGCCGTCCATTGGTCACCTGCGAGAATCTTGCATTCAGAACGATGATTCGGGCATTGCGCATCGTTCGTTAATGGAACGAGATTGACTAGGCTTGGTGATGATGAGTGCATTTTTTCACGAATTGAAACGTGACGTGTTCCGATGCAGTTCGTCCAGGATGTGGAAGTGTTCGATTGTCGTAGCCCCGCCCATTTACGGTTTTGTTCTAAATCACCTGTAAAAGAAAAGCATCGGAAAATCTAGGTTTGAAACAGTGTCATTTACATATGATGCTGGTCCAGAGGCCAAGGAACACTTCATAATGAAGATTTCTGGTTTTGATGGAGAGTCTAGCCTTGAGATGACCTTTTGAGATTTGGTGAATGAACGATGCCCTCTATTTTCATAACCAATTTTGAAGTTTTTTTGTAGGGGTAACTCTGATGCAATTGTTCACTTTTCTCCTGTAGTTTTGGAGGTGATTAGCCAAGTGCTCAGTCGATTCTCGGGAATACTGGGCCCTTCTCAGTTATGACTCGAAAAGCAAACTGGTGCATTCAGAGGTCGGAGGCAATGTGTCTATGAACAAAAAATTCGTCCAAGTCCGACAAGTATTTCACCTTTTCAAGTTTTTTGGTGTGAGTCAAGGGATGGCTCTATTTTTGCTAGTAAGTCGACTCCTGTGGGTTCCCTTGTCACTGCTTATGTAGCATTATTACAAGTTACTCTATCCATACTTGGCTTTCTAAACGCAAGTCGAATGCGCGGCTTCTTTTACAAAAAGCTGATCATTGTCGTTTAGTCATCATTTGATTATACTGTTTTATGAAATTATGTTGGTATTAGTAAGAAGCTGACTTCCAAGTGTTCTAAGCCCTGAGAAAAACTTCCAGTTGTCCTAGGAACTATCCCAAAGTCAGTTCTAAACTCTGTCTGCTTTTTTTCTGCGCTAAGATTGGGGCTAGAGGCGAGACGCTAAGAATGCGCTACACGGTACGCTCTTGCCTGCAGCTATATAAAGGTAGCCGGCTAATCTGGCTGGTGTTGCGCATCGGCGAATGGACGTAATCGACCATCGCATCAANACCCGACTTTCTAAACGAGAGTCAAATGCACGGCTCATTCTGGAAGGAGCTGATCATTGCCGTTTAGTCGGCCATTTAATTATCACTGGTCTATAAAACTAAGTTGTTATCAGTACGAAGCTTACTTTCAAGTTTACTAAGCCCTGAGAAAAGCTTCCAGTTGTCCTAGGAGCTATTCCAAAGTCGGTTCCAAACTCTGTCTGTTTTTTTTCTGCGTTGAGATTGGGGCTGGAGGCGAGACGCTAGGAATGCGCTACACGGTACGCTCTAGCCTGCAGCTATATAAAGGTAGCCGGCTAATCTTGCTGGTGTTGCGCATCGGCGAATGGACGTAATCGACCATCGCATCAAGGCCTATCGGTTTGTCGCCTATGCTGCTGTGGGATTCTCAGTGGTAGCTGTGCTGTCGGTCTGCGTCACCCTTCCCATCGTCTACAACTATGTGCATTATGTGAGAAAATCACTGCATAAGGAGGCATCCCTGTGTAAGGTAAGATTTTCAACTGTTTTGGGATGCTTCCCACGCACTGTACTGGGTACGTTTCAGATCTCGACAAACTCCGTGTGGGATGACGTGACAGTTTTGAGGCTGGCCCATTTCGGTAACAGGACAGCACGTCAAGCAATAACGAGCTCTGAAGAGAACGGAGGATGTGAATCGTGCTGTCGACCGGGACCGCCTGGTCCTCCGGGTCCACCAGGAAGACCGGGAAGACCGGGCCGCCCAGGTGCACCTGGACTTCCTGGGGTTCCTGGTCTACCGCCTCCAGATGGCAGTTGTGAACCTGTCTCGATACCACCATGTGCTGAATGTCCAGCAGGGCCACCCGGTCCACCTGGAAAACCGGGTCCTCCAGGAGACCCAGGAGAGGATGGCCAGCCTGGGCCACCCGGTCAAGATGGTATTCCAGGCCAGCAAGGAACCAAAGGCCCACCAGGTCCACCAGGAATACCAGGAAAACCAGGCGAATCAGGAGAGGTTGGTGAAGATGCTGATTGTGAACCTGTTGCTCCTGGTGATCAAGGTCCACCCGGAGAACCAGGACCAGAAGGACCTCCAGGGGAACCCGGCCTGCAAGGACCTGTCGGAATGCCAGGTATTTGCCTCACAGTATTTAAAGGTGTCACTTTAGAAAGAGATGTAGTTTAATTTCAGGCCAGGTGGGTCAGAAAGGAGAAAGCGGAAGTGATGGTCAACCTGGACTCGATGGCAGCCCCGGTCGTCCTGGTCCTCCTGGTCCTCCTGGGCGACCAGGCGAGCCAGGAATTTGCCCGAAGTATTGCGCTATTGATGGAGGGATTTTCTTTGAAGATGGAACTCGTCGTTAAAATTCAAAGGAACGCTGTACAATAAATAATTAATTGCCATTTGACCATTTTCGACATCTGTGCTGTGAATAAAGGTGGTGCAAGAATGGAAAAAATCCGAACTTTTAAGAGAACATTTCGCGTTGCGATGAAGGTGGGCGGATGGCTTACGTTCGCATTTAGCATCTCTCGTTCATATGAACATCAAGTTGGTTGAAAGCAGATAGCATCAGGAAAGAGAGGATGATCCAGTTTTCAGGGATTACTGCGTCGCTCGCGAAACTTTTCTTGATATGATAACGCCACATATCGTCTCTACAGCTGCCTGAGTACCTCCTTAATGGTAGCGGGGAACAGATCTCTGATTTATTCACATTTCTCCATGAATAGTTTTTCGATTTCCGAAATTAAAATCGGCCTAGGCCAACCAAACCCTCGAACCCTCATAGATCATCAGTACCAGACTCGTCTGTTGAAACATCGACTGACTACCGTAATCATCCTATGTTATAGGCCACATACGCATTCAAAACGCTACCATATTCTGGACAGGAGTTGAATACGGGAGCGCTTTCCACGAATGGAAGGGGCAAAAAACTATTTCGCTACCGTTCATGTTATCGTATTCTTCGTGCGGGATTGCCAAAATCAGTACCACGTTGCAAATAAATATTGACATAATTTTCATTACTGTAGTATTATTCCGAGAAAAAACTGCAGCTACAAAAACCCAGCTGCCTTCAATGACATGGGGATGTAACGCTGCGTGAAAAATGAGCGTGCTCATTGCAGTAAGCTAATTTAATTATTTCGTAGAGCATACTGTTTGAACAAAACATAACAAAATACAAAAGATAAATGTATTGTAGGCATT